TGACTCTGACATTGACATAATTATATTCATGTTAAAAATGCACGTTTTGATTAAATAGCTTGGAAGATGGAATTTTCCTTGAAAGTTTTACTGATTCCTTCAGTGCTAAAAATGTATACTCCAATAGCTGCATTAAAAAAAAAATATTAAAGCGCCACATCTCTCATGGTATCATCTTTGTTCTACTTGCTTGCAAAGAGTTAAATTTTAGATCAAGTCAGAAAGCTTCGGCTCTAACATTTACATTTCATTTTTCAAAACATCGTATGCCCTTTGTACTTCTCAGTCTCACCAAAAGGTCAGCATTCTGTTATACTATATAAATTTTTATTTAAAATTGTTGCTTAAATTGCATCATCAAGTTTGGGAAGGTATGTGGGAAAATATACGTAGTTTTATAAGACATAAATGAAGCATAAAGCTATGGAAAATTTTTGTGTCACTTTTTCTAGAAGAGTGTAGGTTAGTCTTGTATTTTTGAAAGCTACTGAAATAAGTGATGCAGAACAGAAAAATTGCTGCTGGTAGCCAAGAAGTTCCTACATTTCTGATACTTATTAATGCAACTGTAAATAATGGCACTGGAATATATCAATCTAGTATTAATATAGTTCCAGACAAACTAAAAGGAAAATTCCTTGTTTGCTGAAGAGACCTTGCTCTGCCATCCACTTGAAGGGTGAACTGCCTGCAGAGAGCCCACGGGCATCCAAGCCCAGCACTGAGCTCGTGCCTTGACAGGAAACATAACCAGGTCATAATCTGTCAGAGTACTTGGGCAGAGGCTCAGCCCCCTTCACTGCTGCCACACCGGCAGCGGGAGAGCAACTGGGGATGTGCAGGTACACTGCAGATTTGAATGCCTAGGTGCAAAGTTATCCCGCTATTTGCRCTGCCTTTCTTATTCTGCATCTCAGTTTGAAGCTCTGAAAAGCCCCGCTCTTTCCGGTATTATTCCGGCTTGCTGGATTGGTAAAATGCCAATGATAATGGTGTTATAAACACCACAATACAATTACTTAACTTAAGATACTAGTTCATGTACCACATTCTAGTGGTATTTTCACATATCACAGTCACTGAATTACCGTCAGTAACACATCTTGCAAACAGTGTAACCAACAGTGTGAAAAACTSTGTGTTTTATTAAATGGATAAATGTGCCAAAAGAGCAAACGCGGGAGGCTTCACACCACGGCTGGCATCTTGCCTGATTAACCACAGCTCCTTCCAAGGCCAAGCCCTTGGCCCAAGCCCACAGCTCCGGCTGTTCGTATCCAGCCCCTCTTGTCCCCATTGGGTTGTCAGCGGTTGGGATTGCGGATCCATCCCRACTTTGGCTCCGCTCCTGCCCACAGAGCCGTTTTAGGGCTCGCCTGAGTAACAGCAGGATGGAGCTTCCAAGCAGTATCCTGCTCCCGTGGCTACTGCCTGGGCTAACAGGCTGGGAGCCTGCCTGGGCTACCAGCTCCCTCTCTTTTTTAGACCTCCTTAAAGGTTTTTACGGAACAAAGATCTGTTAAAACAAGGTCAATGATGCAAAGATCTGTCAAAACAGTGGGCCGCAGGAGCCCACTGGAAYAAACTAAAGAGGCAATATTCCATATTTCCTCTTTTAGATAGGCAGAGGGGGTCTGTGCAGCCGTAGCATTTTGACCCGAGCAGCGATTAAACACCTTGAACAAATATTCTCCGATTTGTTTCTTTTCTGYCACAGCCAGTCTCAGTTCCCAGCCAACTCACACGTGCTAAAAAGTGGGGGGAAAAAAAAGAAAAAGAAAAAGAAAAAAGAAACTCATACCCACAACACACTAACGACAACGCAGCCAGTTACAAACGGGGCCCTGCGGACATGTGTCCCAGGGCAGGGCAGGGRGCCCTCCCGGTCCCGCTGCCGCCGCCGCCCACCTGCAGGCGCCGCTGGAAAAGGGCCCGGGATGCGCTTACCGCTCACGGCGCACGGACAGGGATGCGGGGCGGGCGCTCGCGCGCCGCACGGGCTGCTCGGCGAGTTATTTATTTATTTAGCTCCGCGGCCGCACAGCAGCCCCGGCACGGGGGAGCAGCACGTCTCTAACTGGAGGCGGGAAGCGCGTCCGGGGGCGCCCTGCGCTCGCCGGAGCCGCTCGCGCTCGCGCCGCTTTTCAGCGGGCCGGCTTCCTGCCCGGCTCGCAGGGAAAGTCGCCCCGCGCCGCATCCCCGGCGCGGCCTCCCCGCCCGCCCCGCGCCGCTCACCTGGGCCCGGCTCCGCTGGGCGCCCGCGCTGGA